ATAAAAGAGAAATGTATAATTTTGACCCATACAATGTATTGTTGGCTATTGCTACAAATATACCCCAGCGACTTAACACTGCTTTGTGCTCCAGGGTCACATATTATAATACATATTAACAGTTTTAATGTCAATTGTTTTTTTTTTATTAATTGAATTTATTATTTATTGATTTATTACAAAATGTATCAAATTTTACACACATCAGACTGTATATTCTTTTGGGAAGAGCTGCTCTTGTGGTACTTCGAGCCTTCAGTCAGTGATGTATTGACAGTTCAGAAGAAACCGTTTCAAATGAAACCATAAAAATCAGGCAGAGAATGGACCATATACATTCAGAATGACTGTAATAGCAGCTATGACAGCTCTAACACTCACTCTACAGCCTCTTCTGACACACTCGTGGGCTCCAGCCCTTGTTAGAGATGGAGATTATTTCTCAGAGGGACTTCACGCAGCTCCCACGGGCAGTGGACAGGTGATTTAATTGTGGCTTGAATTGAAAACCTTCCTCCCATGTCTCAGGAAAAAACTTCTGGGCCAAACTGCGTCCTGTTTTTACATGGTCTGGCATCCTCTTCCATTTGAGCTCTGTGTGCTGTGTCACTGTAAGCGTTTGTGTATTTTGGGTGTAATGAAGGACTGTTCTGGAGAGATCGTCAGCACAGGTTTTAAGAAAGAAAGAAAACACCTCAAGAGGCGAATCATGTGAACTGTTCAAAGGAGCCTTTATAAGCAACATGACCATTTTACTGCTGTTCAGACGTTTGGGGTCATAATATTTCTGAAAGAAGCCTCTTCTGCTCACCAATACCTCATTATTTGATCAAAAATACAGTAAAAATGTGAAATATTATTACAGTTTAAAATAACTATTTTCTATGTGAATATGTGTTAAACTGTAATTTATTTCTGTGATGCGCAGCTGTATTTTCAGCATCATTACTCCAGTCTTCAGTGTCACATGATCTTCAGAAATCATTATAATATGCTGATTTGCTGCTCAAGAAACATTTCTGATTATTATCAATGTTGAAAACAGTTGGGCTGTCTCTTCTGCTCATCAAGGCTGCATTTATTTGATCAAAATACAGTACAAATTGAGACATGTTATTATAATTTAGCTGTTTTCTATGTGAATATCTGTTAAAATGTAATTTATTTCTGTGATGTGCAGCTGTATTTTCAGCATCATTACTCCAGTCTTCAGTGTCACATGATCTTCAGAAATCATTATAATATGCTGATTTGCTGCTCAAGAAACATTTCTGATTATTATCAATGTTGAAAACAGTTGGGCTGCACAATATTTTTGTGGAAACTGTGATGCATGTTATTTTTCAGGATTCACAGATGCATGGAAAGTTCAAAAGAGCAGCATTTATCTGAAATAGAAATATTTTGTAACATAAATAAAAGTATTAATTTCTTAAAAAAATAAAGTGTACGTTTATATGACTCTCAATAAATAACAGTTGTTTTAATTTGACAATTTTAGATTTACATAAAACATTTGACACAAACTGTATATTATATACATATTATGTGGAGAATTCACCATGAGAGAAGTGAACGTCCAATTCATCAGATTTCTTTTTTTTTTTTAAGTCCTAAAAACTTGTCCTCAGTGAATTATTTGGCATCTGAATTCCTGAGTTTTATCCATGCACTCATTCTTCTACAGAAATAATTACCAAATAGGGCTTAAGAAACTCGATCTCGTTTCTGCCTGTGACGGCTTCACCTCGAATAAACCTCTCGCTCTCGTGTCAGAGCTCCAGAGCCTCGGATGAGTCGAGGCTCGTGCTTTGATTTCTCTCACGCTCAGCAGACGCCAGGCAATATGCTTATTTCAGAGGATGAGAGAAAAATAGTCAAACGTAAAGTCGGAGGCGTTGCTCTCAGAAAAACCCTGCCAACATGACTCTGAGACACAAGACTGATCTACAGCATGAGAACAACCTCCACCTCCATCATTAACACAGAGCCGCGGAGAGAATGAGTCACGTCCACTCGCTGTCATCTCCTCCTTTATTTTCAAGAGTAAAAAAAGTGGGAAACCAAACGTTAGACGATGACATCACAGCGCGTCGGCATCAATACGGCCGAACTCAAGAAAGATCAGGACAGGGAGCATAAAAAGACACATTTTGGTGAAAATGCGCATCTGTGAATGAAACGAAACTGAAAGGGCATGTTCTTCAGCAACATAACAAGGTGTGATTTCTCTAAGGCCACTGTGGCTGCTTATCTGAAGCATTACAGACATCAAACGCTCAAATCAAATCAGCTCATATACATTTTAATTCCCTCAAAAATCATACATTAAGCTTACTTCAGGCCGGCCTCGTGTCAGTATGAACTAATGTGTGTGTGTGTGTGAGAGATGTTCTGCTGGTCTGCACGTCGGTGAAGGTCTGTGTGTGTGTGATTTACTTTGAGATGGTTGTGTGTGTCCATGAGCTTCAGTGTGGACTCCCTCTGACGGCCAAACGTTGCTATCGTATTTTTTACGGTAAAATTCCGGCAACCACAGCTGCCGGTTTTCTACCGTAAATTTTACAGAATTTTTTTTACAGTGTAGTCAGAAGAATGTCTGTTGGGACACCATCACAATAAAGAGTTATCACTAGTGCTGTCAAACGATTAATCGCATCCAAAATAAAAGTTTTTGTTTACATAATATATGTGTGTGTATTGTGTTTATTTATTATGTATATATAAAGACACACACACACACACAGTATATATTTTGACTCATATACATTTTAATTCCCTCAAAAATCATACATTAAGCTTACTTCAGGCCGGCCTCGTGTCAGTATGAACTAATGTGTGTGTGTGTGTGAGAGATGTTCTGCTGGTCTGCACGTCGGTGAAGGTCTGTGTGTGTGTGATTTACTTTGAGATGGTTGTGTGTGTCCATGAGCTTCAGTGTGGACTCCCTCTGACGGCCGAATGTATCTCGAATGTTTTCCTGTGCTAACAGTGTCTTTATGGCCTCTACCTGTGTCCGCCTGCGCTCTCTTTCCTGATCCATTCTGCTCTGAGCAAACGCACACCCTACGGCACAAACAACACACACACACACCATCATCTGACACACACGTATGCAGGGTTACACACACACAAACACAGCAGATCAAACAGCGGTTCTGACGGCTCTGGCTTTGGATCGGGCTTCAGGCCTGCAGCTCATGAGCAGTCAGACTGAGCAGTTCGCTGGGATTGTCAGATGTGAAGATGACAAAGCAACACTGACTGACTCAAGCGCCTCCGGACACTACAGCAGCGTTCTCTGAAGGATCCGTCACAAATAAAGTCAAAGGTTTCACTTTATTTTGATGCTCCCTTTAACATATTCCGTTGACTATAAGTAACATTGCACCTACATATCAATTATCTCTCACTGGAGTGTAGTAGAGTATTAGTAGACTGGTAGGGTTAGGGTTAGGATAAGTTGACATGTACTTGCAAAGTTATATATACACTGTAAAAAAATGACCGTGAATTTAACGGTAAAAGACTGTTAAATGGTTAACGGTAAATTCCCCTACTATATACGGTGAAAAACTGTATTGGACATTACATGTATTGGACATTAATTTTACGGTAGTATACCGTTTTTGGAAGTGAAAAAGACCGTATAATTTTCATTGAATAACCGTAAATTGACATTCCCAGAATTCCCTGCGTTACATTTCAAATTTGATGTTTTTTTGTTGAAATAACTTATGTTTCTTTTTAGTTTTTTCTTATCAGTTTTGTATATTAGGGTTGTGTGTTACACCTAATGTTGTTGAATGTTTATTGCATTATTTCAGTTTCATGTGTGTTACCATGATGGTGTTTGGTGTTTGTGTGAATGACACTGTGCACCTTCTATATATGTTATTATTTAAAAGCTGCTTGTGATAGGCTTTGGTTCATCGTGTGACTTTCTCATCACCACCTGCATTTGGTGGTTATCAGTGTATTACAAAGGTACAAAACAGATTTTAGTACTTCAATAGGTTGGTATATAATAAAATTTTATCAGTTAATGAAATTACGGTATTTAACTGTAAATTTAAGTTAAAACCGTAAAACCTAAAACGTTGCTATCGTATTTTTTACGGTAAAATTCCGGCAACCACAGCTGCCGGTTTTCTACAATTAATTTTACAGAATTTTTTTTACAGTGTAGTCAGAAGAATGTCTGTTGGGACACCATCACAATAAAGAGTTATCACTAGTGCTGTCAAACGATTAATCGCATCCAAAATAAAAGTTTTTGTTTACATAATATATGTGTGTGTATTGTGTTTATTTATTATGTATATATAAAGACACACACACACACACAGTATATATTTTGATAATATTTAAATGTATATATTTACATCCCTATAATTTATACTATTTATAAATATATTTCATATATAAATGTAACATATTTTTCTTAAATATATACATGCATGTGTTTGTATTTATATATGTACATAATAAATATACACAGTACACACACACATATACTATGTAAACAAAAACTTTTATTTTGAATGCGATTAATCGCGATTAATCATTTGACAGCACTAGTTATCAGACATTAAGCAGAGTTAGTTGACCTGTAGGTGCAAAGCTACTTATAGTCAACAGTAGGTCTGCGACGATAAATCGATGCTGAATCGATTCGTGGATGGATTCTGAGATCTTCCGAAAGCATGGTGATTCTCTCTGGAATCGATTCTGAGCTTAGATTTTAACAGCAGATGGCGCTCTACTCTAGTTTTTATCCGCACACTCAAACGCTCATGAAGTGTAAACACAACCCACTGTGAACACTCTTGTAATTCGCTTCAACCTTTTCGAATTTTATGAATGATTATTTTAGGTTCAAGTGTGTGTAAGGATTTGGAAACAAGCAGAGTACGGCTGTTTCTGAAGCATGCAGCGCCATCTGCCGTTCAAAACTAAGCTCAGGATCGACTCGAGAAAGAATCGCAATGCATTCGGAAAATCTCAGAATCGATGCCGAATCATTTCTCGATTCGCGATGCATCGATTTATTTTCCCAGCCCTAATCGACAGAATGCTCAAAAGGGATCATCACAATAAAGTGTTACCAATTCATACAGACAGGAGTGATGCAGGACGGGGGAGGCAGGGAAATAAAGTTCAGTTTGAGTGCTGCGTTTGTCCAGAGATCCGGCCTGATCTCCACAGCCCTTCTCTTCAGCTCAATCGCTCTCGGCTGCGCTCTGGCGCCGCTGGCAGGTGGAGGCGTTGTGGCTCTCCGGCGGTCGGCTCGGGGGACGGCTCAGGGCTCTCGCGCTCATTTGGTGGTGTTGAGATTGCTAGCGGCCCCCGGCGGAGCCTGGTCTCTCAGCGCGGCGCCGTTCTGCTGAGTTTCCTCCATGTACTGCTGCACGGCCCGCAACACAGCATCTTCCACCAGCCGCTTACTCAGACTCACTAACTCCTCATCGTCCAGCGCTGGGGCCTTCTTAACACCTACACACACACACACACACACACACACACACACAGAGGAATCAATAAACACACACACACAGATCTGATGATCACACACGTCTGCCTCAGGTTACAGGTGTGAATGAGGACCGTCACAATCACAACTAAAGCTCTTTCTCAGCCTTCAGATATTTAGTTCATCATTAGATTGATATAAACAGGAATATCAACAGGGATAATGTAGGGATGCACAGATATTGACATTTGGGCTGATGCCAGTAATAATTCTGCTGAGAACCGATAAACACATTATTGTTTGGAAAAAGTATGATTTTGTTTATGTTTTTGAAAGACATCTCTTCTGCTCTCCAAGGGTGCATTTATTTGATCAAAAATACCATAAAAAACTGTAAAAATGTAACATTATAAATGTCACTTTTGATCAATTTAATGCATCCTTGAAGGACAAAAGTATTAATTTCTTTAAATACATAAATAAATATATATATATATATATATATATATATATACTGATATATAATTGTCATAATGTTTAGTACTTTTGTTTTAAATTTGACAGTCAAATAATTTACTGTAATTTTGACAATATCATAAATATATACCATTTTGTATATTAGACTGGATCAACGATCTAGACTTGTACTTGTCTAATTGAATGCTTAAATCAGGAAGCAAAACATTACTTTCACACATGTTGTGCCTCCTACAGTACTTCTGTAACCTGGCTCACTGTTGGCTAAAACAGACACAATAAGCTGTGATACTATCTGCTTCCAGCATATCAGCCGAACCAGAAGTTACAATAATGATTTGGTCGGCGATATATCGTGCATCCCTCAAATAATAGATAAGATGACGGTTTTGATTACTGCAAACACAGTGGGGTGAATCTGCGTCTAGTCCCTCAGTAGTAGGGTAGTGAGGGGTTGAAGTACACTACACAGAGACATGAAGGGAGGAACACGTACTTGTCCGAGTGGCACGCTGCCTGCTTTGCAGAAGATCTGCAAGATAAACAACATATTTAGCAGCCTGAAGTGATTTCCTCACAATCTGAGCATCATAAACCATCAGAATCACACAGATGGGGTGATGAAGCAGGACGAGACGCTGCTGATTCACCGTCTCACTCACATCAGATCCGCTGATTAGCGGTCTCCAGATCATGTTCTGTAGATTTCGCCACAATTACCACGGCTTTGATCCTACAGCTCCACGAGCATAACAATAATGGCATTGCTCGATTGATTCTTTCCCTTGATACTGTAATTGTGATGATTAAATGTTGAAAATCGCCACATCTACTCCTGGGTGATTAGAATAAGAGCAGCTGTAGTTCCTGACACTCATTTAAAGCCTGATTCTCCGCTGTCATCACATCACTCATTGCTCAACTAGAGCAAAAACACATTATAAACACAATCCACTGATACAAGAGAAGCAGATCTGAAAGCAGCGCAGCAATCAACACTTCACGATGAACTGCATCATCATCTCCATTACTTACTTGTTTAATTGTGCAGCTTTATTTGATAAGCTTTAATTGATTTGATACTCATATCACTGTGTACTGTGAGCCTTGTTTACAACAACAACAATAACTGACTGGTGTAAATTAAATCATCCATCAAATCACAGGCCAAAACACAACAACAGCCACTCTGTTATTCTCGCCTGAATCAGATTCTGGCTTCATTAAACGGTCTTAAATCTTGCAGAGTCACATTAAAACACTGGGATGCTTTCATAACATTGATCTGCTTGAGCATCAGAAAGCCTTTGAGACACACTTCAAATACAGTTAAAAAACTGAGAAGCAACACATCAGCCGATGCATACATTTACAACATCCAGTCAATCAATGCATGCTTTAAATCACTTCGTGCACTATGTTTGACTCTTTGAACATCTACAGTCCAGATCTCACATCTCACACATTCTCCTCACCAGCCACCAGCTTCAGCGTGCGATTCTTGTGAAGTCAATCTGGGAAAAACTTTCCTAACAACTCTTTCTTAATCACTGAGACAATAAATTGACCCTACTACAGATAAATAACTGACAGGCCAAACAGCCAAGCAAATCACTGCACTGAGAAGCCTTGTTGTCCAAGCTTTACTGAACTGTTAGATGCATACTTTTTTTGTGGATTCTTAATCACTGAGACAATAAATTGACCCTACTACAGATAAATAACTGACAGGCCAAACAGCCAAGCAAATCACTGCACTGAGAAGCCTTGTTGTCCAAGCTTTACTGAACTGTTAGATGCATACATCTTTTTTTTGTGGAATACACCATCTGAAAGTTGAATAAATAATCTTTCCATTGATGTATGGTTTGTTAGGATAAGACAATATTTGGTCGAGATACAACTATTTGAAAATCTGGAATCTGAGGGTGCAAAAAAATCTAAATATTGAGAAAATCATCTTTAAAGTTGTCCAAATGAAGTTCTTAGCAATGCATATTACTAATCAAAAATTAAGTTCTGATATATTTACGGTAGGACATTTACAAAATATCTTCATGGAACATGATCTTTACTTAATATCCTAATGATTTTTGGCATAAAAGAAAAAGTTATCATTTTGATCCATACAATGTATTGTTGGCTATTGCTACAAATATACCCCAGCGACTTAACACTGCTTTTGTGCTCCAGGGTCACATATTCTCTAAAAATATGTGTTTTCGCTCTTTAATCACCGGTTCAGACACTGATTTGTGAGCATGCAGAATGAATGTCTGTGTTTCTCTGAAGGCATTTCCTCAGGAAGCCTCATCTCCTGTCTCTCTCCTGAGGCCTGGGGTCAGGATCTGTGCTGGAGAGATCAGTTATCAGCCGTCTCACCTCTAATCCACCAGTGCTTCCCATCGAGGAACTATGTGCATTTAGGATGGCCTGTTTGTTTGTCTTCCACCCACTTTAAAAAGCAAAGCGCCAGCTGCTATTTCAGGAACTCAATTCCAGTGAAACGGTGCTGGTGCATGGCCAGTAATCTTTCAGTAACAGCCCACAAATCCACTGCCTGAGAGCCAATGATGCCAAAACTGTTACTACATAACCTGCCCACAAATAAGCATGCCCTATCATGGCCTTTGCTTTTCACATCTTACATTTTTAATGTCCAAAGTTGTTTAATTCATCTTTATACCATTATGCACTGCTTATAATGCTCGTATGAGTTAAGTATATAACCAATCAACCTTTTTTTCGTCAGTGTACTCATATGGTTTACATGGTCAGAAGCTGCTGGTGTTCACAGCAGCAGTTTTAAGGCACCGTGCAGAGCTGTTCTTTTGGTTCTCCAGTGCAACTGTGACATGTTTCCAGAATGGCCACTGCCTAAATGGGGTAAAAAAGCCAATTTTTACAGCCATCTAATGCACTGGAGTCAATTTGGTTGTTAATTAGCCCCATCTATTGAACTGGAGTGAAGCTGGTTTTCATTCAGTTTGACGATATTGTCTTGATCCTGGTGTGAACAGGCCTTTCATCTACAATTTGTCTCGCTCTTGGTGTCCAAGACCTTAATTAACAATTATCAACCATATTTAACTTGAATTGACAATTGTCAGTATGTGCCATTTTTTAATTATCAACATCGGCCAATACATTTTCTGTTTGGCCAATAAGTGACAGAAGCGGGACTTTTATTTTGACAGCGCTGAGATTGTCACACAGACACACAAGCTCCATCTTCATTAGCTGGCTGTCTGTGTTTAACAGTTCTGGTTAATAAATTACAAGACAGAAATGTTAAACAAAAAACTAAATGGTAAATGAAAAATTATTATAGCATTAAAATATTAAACATTATAATTTCTTCATTTGTGAAAAATATAATAATGGGATTACAGAATTGAAAAGATGCTATATTGTAATTTCTGTGACTCCAAATGTAATATGAGGCGGCGTTTACATGACACTGGTCTCAACTAAAAACGGAAAACGTTTTGTGTGCTCTGGCTGTTGGGGAGTCTGAAAACTCTTGAAAATGGATTTCAAAGTGCCGGTTTTTGAAAATTACAGTGATTGTGTCCGCGTAAACTACAAAAATGCTCATTTGTGAAAATGGTGACGTCATGCCCATGTTTAGTCTATATGCATGTGTGAGTTTCTTTCCAAAGTGACATCGCCAGCTACTGGCCTAGCCTTTTAGTCGTTCTCACAGATCAGTGTGAATGGGGTTCATTTCCAATAGCATCCATTTTTAGTCCACCGCTGTCGTGCAAACACACCCTGATATACATCAGCTTTCTATCGGTCATCATCATCCACCCGGCTCTCTCTGATATCAGCACTGGCCATCATAAAATCCCTCTCGGTCGACTGCTGCTGCTGACTGAAGCGCTGGTGTTTGTTTGTGTGAACAAGCCTTCAGTCTGGAAACAGATCTTTGTTGGTGATTCATAATGCTTTTTAGTTTAGTCTCAAATCTGAAAGTTTGGCAAATCAGCTTCAGCTCGAATAAGATTCATAAAAAATGTGAATCATACACAGTCGTGTCCAACATTATTTTTGGTGTGCCGCTGAGAGCTCTGTGAGTTTGGGAGCTCTTATCTGTGTGTGCTGTATCTCTGGAGAACCGCACAAGGTAATCAAATCTGACCTTACATGCACACACACACACACATACACACACATCCACTCTCTCACTCACACACACACACACACACACAAGCACACACACA